GCTGAGGAAATGGAGCTCTCCCCTTGGAAACTATCTGCTCCAAATTTTAGTATTAATCTGGCAAAATTATTTCCAATTATTCCTTTTGCACCAGAGGAGAGTTGAGAGTTAATCAGGTCCACTGTCCAACACTTTTGGGCAATGGCACTAGCTTACAGTTGCTCTGCAATTGATGCAAAGACCTGATGTGAAAGTGCTCTAAGCATTTTTCCTTGAAACTCCAAAATTGAGATGGTAGGGGGAGGTGTCCAGAAGTAAACTAGAATGTAGAGAAGCGATCTAAAAGGGCAATATTGAGAAAGAATGGATTAAGCGTAGCTTTTTTCTCCTTTACTTAAACACACAATAAAAACAAGAGTTTTTCATTTAAAGAAACTTTGGTATTTTTTTCTCCATATATTTATAAGAATACATTTCTTCACTTTCTGATCAAGCTAAAACCATCATAGCATAACTTAGTTGCCTCATGCAATACTAGATATTATCAATATATAGCTGCATAAACAATATGACATGAACTCGGCTGCATGAACAACATATTATGAGATATACGTGACTCCCATTTTGTAGGGATTCCATATGATCTTGAAGTCCTGGCTGTTTTCCTTTGGGTTAAGATGAATGGAGCTCCTTGTTGGATGTATTTTTTAGATATGATTTGGGATTGGGTGCCTGGATTCCATCCTGTCTCTTTATTCTATCTCACACAAGTCCTGCTGTGCTGTCTCATCATGTGGAAGGTGGGTGGTCCTGGGAGGGATGAGCAAAGAACATCAGGAATATATATATTCTCAACAGGGTCATCCAAGATGTGAAGGTCATTCCAGTTGCCCAGCCATATTATCAGGCACTAAACTGACCAATGGCAATTCAGGAAAATGCTGGAGATATTACTTACCATAATTGACAATGGCAAGAACATCAATTAATACTATGCGGGAGAATGTAAAGGTAAATTGGTTTTTTTTTTAACCAAGAAAACCATATAGACAGAAAATATAAAACTATTGCAAATCTAGTGCCAGATGATGGACCTTCAAAACATCTAGTTGCTGATGTTGCTATAGGGAAGAAGAAAACCTGAAATTATGATGGGACATGGAACATGAGACTCATGAAACCTTATACCATTTCAGACAAAAACTTCCAGTATTGGAGCATTCACAGCTTCTGGAGGCAGATTGTTCCACTGGTTAATTGTTCTGTCAGGAAGTTTCTCCTTAGTTCTAGGTTGCTTCTCTCCTTGATTAGTTTCCATCCGTTGCGTCTTGTTCTGCCTTCAGGCTCTTTGGAGAATAGCTTGACTCCCTCTTCTTTGTGGCAGCCCGAGATATTGGAACACTGCTATCATGTCCCCCCCTCGTCCTTCTCTTCATTAAACTAGACATACCCAATTCCAGCAACCGTTCCTTATGTTTTAGCCTACAGTCCCCTAATTATCTTTGTTCCTCTTCTCTGTACTCTTTCTAGAGTCTCAACATCTTTTTTACATTGTGGTGACCAAAACTGGATGCAGTATTCCAAGTGTGGCCTTACCAAGGCATTGTAAAGTGGTATTAATACTTCATGTGATCTTGATTCTATCTCTCTGTTAATGCAGCCCAGCACTGTGTTGGCTTTTTTGGCAGCTGCAGCACACTGCTGGCTCATATCTAAGTGATTGTCCACTAGGACTCCGAGATCCCTCTCACAGTTACTACTATTGAGCAAGGTACCCCCTATACTATACAAGTACATTTGGTTTTTCTTGCCTAAATGTAGAACCTTACTTTTTTCACCATTGAATTTCATTTTGTTAGATAGCGCCCAGTGTTCAAGTCTGTCCAGATCCTCCTGTATCCTAAGCCTGTCTTCTGGAGTGTTGGCTATTCCTGCCAGCTTGGTGTCATCTGCAAATTTGATGATTTCCCCATCTATCCCCTTGTCCAAATTGTTGATGAAGATGTTGAAGAGCACTGGGCCCAGAACAGAGCCCTGGGGCACCCCACTACACACTTCCCTCCATGTAGATGCGGTTCCATTGAGGACCACATGCTGAGTACGGCCGGTCAGCCAGCTACGGATCCATCTGGTGGTGATGCTGTCTAACCCACATTTTTTGTCTAACCCACATTTTTCTATCTTATCAAGTAGTAGGTTGTGATCTACTTTATCAAATGCCTTACTGAAGTCCAAGTGACCTTGGAGATTGGTGGTATCCACAGCAAACTATGATGATGTCAAAAATAATACCATGATTTAAATGCCACAACTACAAACTTGCTTCCCAACAGCTGGCACAAGTCGCAGCATTTGTGTGATGCCATTGAACACATGTCATCATTTGCCCATGAGCCCTCCACTGGAGACCCATGGACCCATTTACTTTGATGCTATGCCCAGTGCATTGGATAACAATAGTTGAGAATTGTTGATTAATAGAATATCCTGGATGACAAAAGGGTAACAGAAATGAAAGTACAGCCGGTCAGCAGCTACGAATCCATCTGGTGGAGATGCTGTCTAACCCACATTTTCCTATCTTATCAAGTAGTAGGTTGTGATCTACTTTATCAAATGCTTTACTGAAGTCCAAGTAAATTATATCCACAGCATTCGTCTGATCCACTAATTTTGTCACTTGGTCAAATAATGCAATAAGATTTGTCTGGCATGATCTGTTTTTGACAAACCCATGTTGGCTTTTAGTAATGACTTTGTTTGCCTCTAGGTGTTCTCTGATTCGTTGTTTTATTATCTTTTCCAGAATCTTCCCAGGTATTGAGGTCAGGCTGATAGGTCTGTAATTTCCTGGATCCAGTTTTTCCCCTTTTTTGAAGATGGGAACTACATCAGCTCTTTTCCAGTCCTCTGGTAGTTCCCCAGTGCTCCAGGATCTTTGAAAAATATAGTTCAGTGGTTCTGAGATCACATCTGCCAGTTCCTTCAGAACCTTGGGGTGTAATCCATCTGGTCCTGGTGATTTGAACTCATCTAGGCTGGACAAGTGTTCACTTACCATTTTTTTGCCTATCTGATGTTTCTATTTTGTTTTTTATGGCACTATTTTTGATAAGTTGAGCTGTTTTTTCCCTTTGTGTAAAGACAGATGCAAAAAAATGAGTTAAATAGTTCTGCTTTCTCCTCGCTTGTCACCTTCTTGCCACTTTCTCCCACTAATGGACCAATCATTTCCTTAACTTTTTTCTTGTTTTTTACACATTGAAAGAAGCTTTTTTTTGTTATTTTTGACTTTGGTCACAAGCCTTAGTTCATTTTGAGCCTTAGCTTTCCTCACTTCATCTTTGCAGGCTCGGGCAATTTGCTGATATTCTGCCTTAGTCATGTGCCCCCCTTTCCACTTTTTATACTTGTCCTTTTTATCTTTCAATTTATCAGAGAGTTCTTTATGCAGCCATGCTGGTTTCTTTTGAGAGCTGTTATTTTTCTTTTTTGTTGGTATTGTGCTTGACTGGGCTTTTATTATCTCACTTTTCAAAATTTCCCAAATTTCTTGAGTTGTTTTCCTCTTGAGGATTCTCATCCATGGAATCCTTCCCAACCCGTTTATTGAAATTAGTTCTCTTAAAGTCCAAGACTCTAGTTTGACTGTGTTCTATTGCTTGTGCTTCCATAAAATTCCAATATTGCATGAGCACTTCCTCCCAAGGTTCCTGTGGCTTCAACACCTTCTATCATATGGATATATTTGTCTTCAAATACAATATGAATAATCTAACTCATGGACCAAAGAATCATTCTGACAACCAAAAGATTTTAAAAAGTTACCTATATCCATTCCCTACATTCCACACAAGAAAGCCAATTTTTCTCACATATGAGAGTACATTTCGTGGTCACACGGTCAACACTTGGATTTAATGGCTCATCCTTTCCTCAATTGGGTCCATTAAATCAACATTTTATCATAAGCAGAATGCAGTGAAAATTTCAAAGAATTCTCAGAGAAGTGTGTGTGTGGTAAACAAAGCTAGATATGGTAAAAAAAATATGAATGGATAATAACTGAATGAGGATTGAATAGAAAACTTAATGACCTGTTTAAAAGAAGCACTTGGAGGAGTTTTGTCATACAGAGAATGAATGGGAATTGAACCACGTGAAGGGTGTATTGAGAGGAAGGGGAAGAATGAGAAAGTCATGACTAAATCACATCCTGAAAAAGATGCAAGAAATTTAAAGGAAGAAAAGCAATATATGAAATGATATGATGTAAAAGTATAGTGGAAGTAAGGATGGTTTGCAGTGGGAAAAAAGGTTTGGAGAGCTTAAATGAATAGTGTTGATGTACCCTACATTTAACCACATTTCTTTTTCTTCACGATTTTTCATATATTTGGCTTACTGCAGTGATGGCGAACCTTTTGGCTCAATGTGTCAAAAATTTGGAAAATGCCTAACTTGACTCTGCCGGCACTCCCTGTTCCAAACAAAAGAGAAGCAATTCTCTATCTCTCCCCATCTAGGCCACCCTGAACAGCAGCACTTGGCACTGGGTGTTGGTGAAAGCCGATGTGTCACACAAAACATCATGGCATACCGACGTATGTATCATAGGTTTGCCATCATTAGTTTATTATTTCCTACTCCCTTTCCATGCTTTGTATTACATTATTTATCCTGGAAGCGAAAAACAGGATGGACATGAGGATGTAGACAAGCAAAAACCCTAAGAAAAACTACTCCATTGGACTCTCCTTCCATCCAAACTATCGAACCATTACCACCAATTACAAGTATTACTTAAAGAAATAAATTAATTGATCAAGATACACTTTAGCTCTGGAGGATAGTATTCAAAATATATCTTCCTTAATCTGGTCGCCCTCCAGATGCATTAGACTTTGACTCCTATAATCCCAAGGCCTTGCTAGCTGACTTTTATGGAAGACAAAGTCCAACTTACCTAGAGATAACAGACCGAACAAGTGTCGCCTCATTATTGTAATGCAATGGCAAAATGAGGACACATCTTAAAAAAATAGAAATTCTTATTTCATTTGTAAAATCATTTTATTGGTACAAATATACATATGAATAAAATTCCTTCTGCCCAAATCGTAAGCAAATGCATGTAAAAGATTGAAAAAGTAAAGAATTGCTTTTACGGACAAGGAACTATTTGTTTTGAAGTACGTGATAAAGGTAGAGAGGATGCAGACAGATCCCAAAGTGACCTCTACAAAATACCAATATTGATAAAATATCCATTGCCTTCATTTCAATTCAACATGTTTACTTATGGATATGGAAGCATAGCAAAGTGTTAGTAATTGTTTTTCTACTTTTGTGCTTTTGAACAGTACACAAAATGTAAATGATTTTGTTCTTAAATACAGAGTTACAACAAATATGGGTAAAGTCTCCCAAAGGAGGATGTAAAAATCATATCCAAGCATCTAATATATATTATTTATACAAATTCTTTTATTAGTGTGCTCTGTTGATATAATTACAATGTGCAATTGCATTCAGCAAGAATATATTTATAAAGTAAGTCGCGTGCAAGTTTGACAAATTTACATTCAGCAGTCCAACACTTTTCCTGCTGCACAGTAATGGGTTAGTGTAAGAAAATGACCAATCTATTTGCTTTGAGTTTTTTCAACCACAAAGCTCTAATGCAAGGCATTATTTTTGTAGCTGCTTCAGAAAATTCAAGTAGAAGACATGGAATAGTTGCTGGCTTTAGCAAAGGCATGATAGAGAATATCTGGAAATAATTAGAAAAAAACCCCAAATTATTTTTTAATCTGATTACCAATGCAAATATTGATCTTTGAGAAGCTTCTTAAAAAAAAATAGAAAGGAAAAGCTAATGGGGTCAGTAGTAGTTGGACTCCATTATCATGAAAGTATCTGCACTGTTAAGCCCATAATCAACCAATTAAATAAAAATAAAGTCTTTATCTGGCTCTTCTCCAGAGTCACTGGACTTGCTTCCTTGCTGGCCATTTTTCCTTAAAGGTCTCTGCTTTTGTTCCTGGGATTCAGAAATCTGATGTCCTGGGCTTTTCTTTGGACCTATATTGTGAGACAGAAGGCTTTGTTAGGCGAGCTGAAATTTTCTCCAAAAATAATCCCTGCAAAAACAAAGCAATTTTTATACAATATCATCTTGGACCTCCATCTTTTCTGGAACTAGAGATCTGAAAAACAGCACACTCCAGTTGCAAGGGGAGGCAGAAAGCATGCTTATAGTTCTCTGTAACTTGCTTTGCTCTTCTCTGCCAGAAATAGTATTCTGATCCTAAAACTTTCCCCCTTTCCACTGGTCAAATGACAACAACCATCCCAAACTACCACAAGTTACTTTCAAGCAAGACCTGCAGGAAGATGATATATAGCAGTGGTGGCGAACCTATGGCACGTGTGCCAGAGGTGGCACTCAGAGCCCTCTCTGTGGGCACACACGCCGTCGCCCCAGCCCTGCCATCCCCCATGGCCCCCTCCTCACCAGCAGCCCCCCCAGAGGAGAGTCGCCCCCAGGCGCAGCCTGTGCAGAGCAGCGCAGCCAAGGACATGGCAGCCGGGCAGTGGGGACGAGACTCCGCCCTCGCGCCACATCGCATGCAGATGATGCTGCAGGGCGTGGACAGAGGGCATGGCCATGACACTGCTGGGCCGCCTGGGCGATCTGCTGTGGTGGGTCGTGGAGGCGGTGAGTGGCCCTGCGGGCAGGAGAGGTGGGGGTAGGGCAGGGGTGAGGCGGTTTTGGGGCACTCAGTCTCTAAAAGGTTCGCCATCACTGATATATAGTCTACATAAAAAGTGTGCATTGCATATAAATGCCAGCCTATTGTTTAAAATGTCTTTCTGGCCTGAAACACTATTTCATGCCTTCCCATTGCCTCTCCATTCCCCGTTTCTCTTATACATTTTATATTTTCAGATTGTGAGCCTGAACCTGTCTCTCTTTATTGCTGTGACCTACTTTGAGAGACAATACTTATCTTAAAATGGATATACAGTTAATGAATAAGAAGCTCAAAAACATGTCCTGCATTGTGGATGTTGTTCATAAAAGAGGGGAAAAAATCTATAGAGTAATAGGCAATGGCACTCAGATGATAGTATTAGATAAATCAGTATATGGAATTACAACCCATCAATCAAAATAAAGTTAAAGGTATTTTGGCTCATGAATGCTCATGGTTATGACAGACATAAGTACTAATGTGCAAATACACAAAAATTATCAGAAGGATGACAAATAAAGTAGCCCAGATGAAAATTCTTAAAACCAACTTAGTGTTTATACTAAATTAAATATTTATTCAAAAAGTTTTAATAAATAGCAGTATGACATGTTTGGCACAAGGTACAGGAAGTTTTAAATTAACCCCCCCACACACAAAAAAATTCTGCATTTCCCACAATTAGCTTATGAATTAGCTAAATTGACATGAAGCTGCTATAGCTGTACATATACGATTCCTATATGTTAAATAGACTAAGACTACAATCCTCTTTTTCTACTTACAGAATAAAATTAATTACATTTTATATAAAAGATGTACAAGTATAAGCCAGGATAGTCTGTTGTTCAGAGCAATTATCGGTTGTTACTTCAAAAATATAGAAATAAATGATATAAGAATTAGTAATCTTTCCATAATATAATAAATGAAACAACTCTTCTTTAAACTCTAATGAATGAGACATATTTCCAACAGACCACACCAGAAATTCTTCCATATTTGGCAACAAAAACATCTGCTTATTTCTTATTCAGCATCCACCAAAAATAGAACTCTGCTCTATTCATTAATAAATCAGAACTTATTCACTAAAAACCAAATGAAAGATTAAAGAGGCATGAAAAATTATGCTTCTTCAAAAACTTTAAAAATCAAATTTTACAGTTTCATTGATGAAGTAAAATGCACAGCAATTAGTATTTAAAACTCATTCAAATCATCAGCACCTCCAACAATTTTTGCCATTCATCAAAACTGCTATCCTGGAAGACATGCAGATATCCTACATACACACTCACACACAGAAAGCTTTTTGTAATTTCCTAAGAAAGTGTGTGTGTGTGTGTGTGTATGTATATATACATATATGTGTGTGTGTATATACACACACACACACATACATACACAGAGACACACACGTTTGCTATTACATTATGTTGTGATGCATTATCACTTATTATGTTATACCAATTTATGTTTTACTTTATTTTTTTAAAAAAAAATCCTCTTCAATGTAATCCTTTTTATACAATTACACAACAGACCAAAAGTAGTTTGTATGTTTAGCATTCCATTATAGATTGTTAAAATTCTAGGTTTTATATGATAATTTTGATTTTCTGTTATACCTATGGCAGCGGAGCTGGAATATTTTATTTGACTGGGCAAGATGATGGCCAGTGCTTCCAAAAATGATGGTTTTCCATTAATGTCTGTATCTTATAAAAGGAGTCCTCAACCTGTGGGCCAGGGCCCACTACCGGGCTGTAGCCTATTTGCAACTGGGCCGCGTGAGTGGTGGGCCAGTGCACACACAGTCCCATTCACGCAAACTGTGGGTGCCGACGTCCGCAGACCCACTCATGAGAGTGGCGGGCACACACCCCTCCCATTCACAGAAATGGAGCTATGTGTGCGTGCATGCGTGTGCACCTGCCCCTAACACAAAACCATTCCCTCTTCCCACACCCTTCCCATGCCAGACCAACATGGAAAGGCTGGGAAATGATTTTCCATATAACTGAGAGCAGCATCAAAATGGGGCCACCAAACAATACTGTATGAAGAAGCCTAGCTATTACAACTATACTCTCTGATCTGATCTCAGATCATGTTCTAAAACATAAGAGGCAATAAGTACCTATTTTAGCCAGGAGGATGATTTTATTTAAGATTTTTTTGTCTAGGTTGCCTTTCTTTGTTTTCAAACAAGTTCTTTATGTCTAGAGATTTGGTTTCATTGGTTTAATGCATTAAATTAAACTTTTCCTGCTACTACTTTAAACTGTTACAACTCCCAGCTTAACATTTTTTTAAAAAAGTATGTTAAATGCAAAGATGTAATCTCACTGCTGCTTCACTCCTGTGAATGAGAAACATATAAATGATAAAACTGAACATGAAAGATGGGAGAAGAAAGGGTTATGAAGTTAAACGGAGGGTATGTGGAAACATATCCTTTCTTTGTATCATCAGTGTACACAAATATATGAATAACTAAGAACAAATGTTTGCTTTCTGGTAAGTGTGCATGTCAAACATTATACCAGAAAAGGATACCAGGAAGATAAAGTAACATCCCTACCTTCATGTGAAAGAGGTCTGAGAGCTGCCTGAGGGCTGCTTTGACTATCTTTTTCTTTATCAGACGGAACTCTCTTCAAAACAGGGGGAAGTAGGGCAATTTTAGGGGAACCTGGACTGGACTGAGACTCTGGGACATCATCTGAGGAAATATCAGAAAGATTAAATCAGTTTAAAACTGCACAGCTCTCAATGTATTTTGTGCACTTGGTGTATTGCTTAAACATTGTGATAGTCCAACAAATATAGGTAGTCCTTGACTTATGACCACAATTGAGCCCAAAATTTCTGTTAGTAAACAAAACAATTGCTAAGTGAGTTTTCTTGCCCCAGTTGTTAAGTGGATCATTGCAATTGTTAAGTTAGTAACACGGTTGTTAAATGGATCTGGATTCCCCATTGACTTTGCTTGTCAGAAGGTTGCAAAAGGTGATCACATGACCCTGGGACACTGCAACCGTCATAAATATAAGCCAGTTGCCATGTGTCTGAATTTTGATCACGTGACCATCAAGATGGTACAATAGTCTTAATTGTGACTTTTTTTCAGTGTCATTGTAACTTCAAAGAGTCATTAAACAAATGGTTGTAAGTTGAAGATTACCAGTACAAAACTGAAAACAAATGATGTTTTGAATAAGTATAAATCAGTCAGACTCATCCATCGTACACATACACTACCAATGTTAATACATTGTACATAATGTCATTAACGTGAATAGGAACCAACTTAAATGAGACAGCCAGAAATCTATATATCTGTCCTATATGATAAAAAGGAAAACATGGCAAGTTCTCCACACAATCATGCTGAATCATCTCTAAAAAGGCTACAAGAAAACTGTTTAAAAGAACATGGCACAACATAAGTTCCATGCTGTCCCTAATGCTTTCAGTTTTTAATGAAAGGAAAGCTTTCACCCTCAATGGAAGAAATGTCAACACATAGTTTCCCATTATATCTATGTGGGCATAATATTTATTCAAATGAAGCTATATTGTAAAATGCTATTAAGACAGACAAAGTAAATACAAAAGATGCTGTGATTTTCTACTGTCATCCTCCTTTGTTCATGTCAGGGATAACATCTCTGATCAATTTTGTTCCCTCCTAGTAGACACAATTTCTGTTTTTCTGATGAATCCTATTTTTGATTAACTCAGATTCAAGTGTGCTAAGAAGTGGCATCTTTTGAGATGCTTAATACAACCAATAATATTTTTTTGCAAATAATAGAAGCAATTAAGTAGACAATAACTATTACATATCCACTACATCTAAGGCTTCTCTTTCTAAATACAGCATGTGGAAACTGAAATTTCATTACATTTAATGAATATCTGGAACACTGAATTATATTATCACATAATTTATAAACATGTTTTATAAAGTGTATAAATTATCCCCAGTCTAAATGGTGTACATATGAGCAACAGCAATGCAATATCAATGCATTTATGAATCTAGTAAAAACATTATCTGTCCATAACTCTTCCTCTAATTTGGCCAAGAATATGTAATTACTTGTATGACTCTTGAGGTCTTCTGAAACAGCCAAGTTCCTTTTATCTTCTTAACTAATTTTTATTAAAGAGATTTTTCAAAGAAATAAAAACAGTACAGATTTTGAATTACAGAAGAATAAAGAAAAGTAATAAGAAAGTGAAAAAGAAACATTGACAAAGAGCCGGCAAAGAGAGAGAGAAAAGGAAAGATTAAAAGAAGATACTAATGAAGTGGTTTCTGATCTCCTTGACAGGGATTTTAGACACTAGAACAGTTGGGCTTTAGCTTTTAAGAAGCCATGAGAGTAGAAGTGACCTATTTTGGGAAAGGATCCTTGGAAACTAAAGTGATCCAAAGGAAGAAAATTTCAAGAGGATTTTGCTTTCTTGGTCCCTTCTCATAACACTTCCTGGTAGGTGGGGATCTTCAACAGGCCATCTTGCTTTGGATGAACTAGGTGGGCAGAATACACCTGGAAAAGTAAATCTCGTGGGCATCTAAATTTCTGAACTCTCTCTTGAAATTAGCATCTTAAATTCCACTCAGAGACATATTCATGCAATCTGATCTCAATTACTTAAAGGTTATAATAATTCAAATTAAGATTAAAAAAAGGTTTAAAACCCATGCCAACATTTTAATAATTGGAAATTAAGGGAAATAGAGAAGGGAAATGTTGAAATCTTGGGGACAGTTAAAAGGTACTGCTAAATACATTTCTAATTAGCATATAAAGTACAGCAGTATTAGGTCTTTACCACGGAAATCCAGTTTCTAGCATGAAAAAGATTAGTCAAAAATTGAATAATATGCTGCCCTCTTTCCAAAAGTATCTCTCAAGGATTTTAATTATTAACTTTCCATACACTGTTAAAATTGATGCAATGTTAAAATAATCTCACCTGTCCGCGAAGCAGACCGTGGCTTCTGAGGAACTGTTGGTCGTCCTGTTAGGGTGGGCTTTGTGGACTGCAGTGGAGGTTTTGGACTGGAANCTTCTCTGTACTCTTTCTAAAGTCTCAACATCTTTTTTACATCGCGGTGACCAAAACTGGATGCAGTATTCCAAGTGTGGCCTTACCAAGGCATTGTAAAGTGGTATTAACACTTCACGTGATCTTGATTCTATCCCTCTGTTAATGCAGCCTAGCACTGTGTTGGCCTTTTTGGCAGCTGCAGCACACTGCTGGCTCAGTTGTTAAGTGGATCATTGCAGTTGTTAAGTTAGTAACACGGTTGTTAAATGGATCTGGATTCCCCATTGACTTTGCTTGTCAGAAGGTTGCAAAAGGTGATCACATGACCCTGGGACACTGCAACCGTCATAAATATAAGCCAGTTGCCATGTGTCTGAATTTTGATCACGTGACCATCAAGATGCTACAATAGTCTTAATTGTGACTTTTTTCAGTGCCATTGTAACTTCAAAGTGTCATTAAACAAATGGTTGTAAGTTGAAGATTACCAGTACAAAACTGAAAACAAATGATGTTTTGAATAAGTATAAATCAGTCAGACTCATCCATCGTACACATACACTACCAATGTTAATACATTGTACATAATGTCATTAATGTGAATAGGAACCAACTTAAATGAGACAGCCAGAAATCTATATATCTGTCCTATATGATAAAAAGGAAAACATGGCAAATTCTCCACACAATCATGCTGAATCATCTCTAAAAAGGCTACAAGAAAACTGTTTAAAAGAACATGGCACAACATATAAGTTCCATGCTGTCCCCAATGCTTTCAGTTTTTAATGAAAGGAAAGCTTTCACCCTCAATGGAAGAAATGTCAACACATAGTTTCCCATTATATCTATGTGGGCATAATATTTATTCAAATGAAGCTATATTGTAAAATGCTATTAAGACAGACAAAGTAAATACAAAAGATGCCGTGATTTTCTACTGTCATCCTCCTTTGTTCATGTCAGGGATAACATCTCTGATCAATTTTGTTCCCTCCTAGTAGACAAAATTTCTGTTTTTCTGATGAATCCTATTTTTTATTAACTCAGATTCAAGTGTGCTAAGAAGTGGCATCTTTTGAGATGCTTAATACAACCAATAATATTTTTTTGCAAATAATAGAAGCAATTAAGTAGACAATAACTATTACATATCCACTACATCTAAGGCTTCTCTTTCTAAATACAGCATGTGGAAACTGAAATTTCATTACATTTAATGAATATCTGGAACACTGAATTATATTATCACATAATTTATAAACATGTTTTATAAAGTGTATAAATTATCCCCAGTCTAAATGGTGTACATATGAGCAACAGCAATGCAATATCAATGCATTCATGAATCTAGTAAAAACATTATCTGTCCATAACTCTTCCTCTAATTGGGCCAAGAATATGTAATTACTTGTATGACTCTTGAGGTCTTCTGAAACAGCCAAGTTCCTTTTTTCTTCTTAACTAATTTTTATTAAAGAGATTTTTCAAAGAAATAAAAACAGTACAGATTTTGAATTACAGAAGAATAAAGAAAAGTAATAAGAAAGTGAAAAAGAAACATTGACAAAGAGCCGGCAAAGAGAGAAAAAAAAGGAAAGATTAAAAGAAGATATTAAAGAAGTGGTTTCTGATCTCCTTGACAGGGATTTTAGACACTAGAACAGTTGGGCTTTAGCTTTTAAGAAGCCATGAGAGTAGAAGTGACCTATTTTGGGAAAGGATCCTTGGAAACTAAAGTGATCCAAAGGAAGAAAATTTCAAGAGGATTTTGCTTTCTTGGTCCCTTCTCATAACACTTCCTGGTAGGTGGGGATCTTCAACAGGCCATCTTGCTTTGGATGAACTAGGTGGGCAGAATACACCTGGAAAAGTAAATCTCGTGGGCATCTAAATTCCTGAACTCTCTCTTGAAATTAGCATCTTAAATTCCACTCAGAGACATATTCATGCAATCTGATCTCAATTATTTAAAGGTTATAATAATTCAAATTAAGATTAAAAAAAGGTTTAAAACCCATGCCAACATTTTAATAATTGGCAATTAAGGGAAATAGAGAAGGGAAATGTTGAAATCTTGGGGACAGTTAAAAGGTACTGCTAAATACATTCCTAATTAGCATATAAAGTACAGCAGTATTAAGTCTTTACCACGGAAATCCAGTTTCTAGCATGAAAAAGATTAGTTAAAAATTGAATAATATGCTGCCCTCTTTCCAAAAGTATCTCTCAAGGATTTTAATTATTAACTTTCCATACACTGTTAAAATTGATGCAATGTTAAAATAATCTCACCTGTCCGCGAAGCAGACCGTGGCTTCTGAGGAACTGTTGGTCGTCCTGTTAGGGTGGGCTTTGTGGACTGCAGTGGAGGTTTTGGACTGGAAGGGGCGCTAGAAGAACTTTTTGTCCTAGCTCCAATTTCTATCTTTGGTTCAGCTTTTGAATTTTTTTCTGTCGAGACTGTGATAGAATCTTCCCTACTGAGAGCCAACTGATTCTCTGGAGAAGACTGATGAAGTTTCATTACTGAAACAAAATGAACCAGGGAACAAAGACAGAGGTCAAAGGCATTGTCGGTTTTAATATAAAAAGTTTCCACCCTCCATAACAGTAAAGAAAAACAGCGTATGGAGGAATGCCGATTGTAAACGAAAGTAAACATTACTAACTTTGTCTGAACTGCCCTTTGTTCTTATTAGTTAGAGCAATGCTACTTTGACCAACAATTCTAATGAAGCATCCAATAAGTTCCCAATTTTTATAATAATGGTTGGAGGAGAAGCATGCTGACAGTGTGAGTGCTAGACCTATAGGGTGTTTTTTTTTTTGTAACTGGCTTGGTGCCATTGGAAAAATTTTAGTCAATTCAAGAGGACACAGAATGTATCTTTTAGAAAGACTAGGATAGTCATATACATATATTCCGTGTATCTGGAAGAGAATCAGTACTATAAGCTATTGAGAAACTTACCAAGAACTTGATAAACAGTTGGCATGCAATTGCAGAATAACGTCAAATATTTCCTATCTGAAAATAGTTTCGGGAATCCTAATATGATTTATTAATCTAAGACAGATTTTGGGGGCATTTTAATAGACCTATAGTAGGAATACCTGTTTCCTTTATTATAGCTATTTTAAGATGTTAAGTAAATCAGATTAATGAAAAAACATTAAATATTTTCTTTTGCTTTCACCTTTGTGAAAGTACTAAAAATTGTATAAAACAGTGTTCCAAAACCACTTTCCCAATCTATTGAGGAGTTGGCCATGGGAGGAAAGAGAGGCAGATATTTTAGAAATGGAAATCATCCACTGGCAATAACCTATGGTCAAAATGTGAGTTAATTTGGCATCAGGTTTGGTAAATTTAGGTCACATCAAATGAAGACATTTAAATGAGATATGGTATAATTACAACCATACAGAACTTGTGCTTAGATTTAATAGATTTAATAACGTGTGTACCTGCAATCTCCTGCACATTTTGTGCCTTGATAGATTCATTCAATATCAGTAAATAAGATCTAATATATGCAGATTAGGAAATTTAAAGATATTGGTGCAGTTTCATTTTACTAGCCTTAAAGAATACAGAATACTCTGGAGTAACTCACCAGCTCCATCCTGTCGTTCTGAATTCAGTGAAAGATCTGCTGAATCTCTAACATCATTCCCTAATTTCTTTAAAACAACAGGACACATCAAAATTAGTATGTCTTTTTTCTAAACAGCAGATTGCAAACTCAACAAGAATTGGGAATTATATGTCTCAAAACCCAGAATTGTATTAAATTAAAATGATGTAAATAGTGCTCCATGGTACTACCTTTGAAGCGGGTTTGGAATTCCTGTTGGGACTGAATATTCAGATTGCTATCTGAAGCTGTATGATACACTGATATATACACTGAACATATACTGAAGCTCTATTAAACACTGCTATATACCATGTATCTTGTTGATATTAAAAAAGCTAAATTAATTGTAGTTTATTTCTGGTTTTATTTTGTTGTTTGTAACATTAAATGGCCTAAAAACTTGGAAGCAATTGTCTTAAATTAGGATCACTAAAATGCTCCATAAAACTATTTCCCACTTAAATAATATTTCTTGTTTCCATCTTCTGATAATGTAATGATGGGAGATTCCTCTCTACACACATATGGTTCTGTTGCCAATTCAACTATCTTTCCAATTATAGGAGAAATGTGTCTGTTCCAATTAGAAGAGAATAAATGTAGCTCAGGGTTGAACTGTGGAGTTCTTGGTGCTCTCTGAGCTTGGTTGTTTTCTTGCTGATGTTTCATTACTCAAGTAGGTAACATCATCAATGCTAGAGAGTGTGGAGTTTGCTCCCTGTTTATATACAGTGGCTTGCCCAGTGAGTTTTGGTGGGGGTGCGGCTTTCTTGAGAGTCCCTTGCTTAGGGCATTGTTTTCTCCCTGATTTTTGTGTTAATCTCTGTTTATCACAGATATATTCTTTATCAGAAAGTACCCTCTGTAGGAATACTGATAAACTTTTATTTAGGTCTTTTTCTTCCATGAATTTTACCCAAAAATTGAACCATCAACCTTTAAGGTACTTCTTTGCATGATAATATCACATTATAATCCTAATAAAATAGTTAAAATCTCCTTTAAGGAGTTATCATTGCACTGAGTAGGTTGCAAACTGATTATAAAAATGCCTCTATGAAGGTTTATGAAATCTTTTGTGTGCTTTAGATCATCATGTCCTGTATTTATATGGCTTTAGCATCTCTTCTAAACAGTATACAATAAGTATCAAATAACTGCTGTACTAACACAATAGCCCCATGTTTATATGATAATCCTTTGATGTGCTAATTAATCTATTCTACATAGTCTCATTTGCATGCATTTGTTTCTGGAGTTAGTATTTAGTTCATCAAACACTAGATGGAGCAAGATCTCCACTATATATGTTTGCTCAGATGGCTTGTTAATTCACATTCATTTAACTGCAACACTTATGCCAATTCACATATCCAATTCAGAGCAAACCTTCACATATACAACATTCAGCATTTGCCATCCTTTGTCTATGGAACATCATCTGTAAGCACAGTAACACTGCTGTGTCAAGTAGTAAGTTCTTATGGTTTTGTTTCTACATGGATTTGAATTTAAAGCAGATTCTATCACAGATTTTGATGGAGAAAAGCTCAATTGTTGATATAAAATGGCTCAAGATGACCTCCAATATTGGCCATTTTATTGTAAGTAACGTTATAACAGGAATCATCTTCTTAAGAGAAAAGTCATATTAAAATGAAAATATCCCTAACCTTCTGTGCTGATGCTGCTCTCCGTTCCTGCTTGGCTTTTATTTCTGCAAGAAGGCCACTGCCTATCATCTGCACCCCATACCTACGTCCTCCTTGAGGACTGCCTTTGCTGTCACCCTTTTCAAGCTTTGACGCATCCTCCAAAGGAACCTCTTCTGTTGAATCTGGTGTTTTTAATTCCTCAGTTTTTTCAGAGGTGCCATTTTGTTCAGCTGACTTCAAATCCTTCTTTGCAGTCTCTACAGTGGGGCCTTTGACAACACTTCTGGGAGATGAAGATTCTTCAGGCATTAACACAGTTGAAGGACGCTCAGATTTGGATCTAGGTTTGATTAAATTAAGAAAGCCACTTTTCCGAGAATCTCTTTTTTTCTTTTCGTCACCTACTTCACCAGAATCACTGCTGTCTGAGCCTTTTGTGGAGGACTTCCTAATAAAGAAAAAAATCAAATACATGTAAGCAAATAAAGATTTTATCTGAATGAACTTGAGCAAATTATGAATCCTTAAATTTTCCTTCCACATTCCTCTACTAGCATACTGAATGAAGACTAGAAGCTTATGAAGTATATCTTTATTGTATTAACCTAAACAAGGTTAATCTTAATTATTCAAAAAACTAACTTTGTATCTTAGTTTCTCCTGCAGGTTGATTAAATAACCTACATTCAGGATTAACTATGTAATCCTAGAAACTGCATTTTGTTTCTTAGAAACATTTCCTTTCACTGTGATTCCAGGATATTTATGATTCCAGGATAATGTATGATTGGGAGAAACTTTGATAAGTATGATGAAATGAGAAATTATTTCAAGAGCATGCAGATCAAAGGGAGGGCAGGGAAGCAGCACTATTCTGTCCCCTATGCTAACCAACCATCTGTTTTTTTGCTTTCACTCAGCTCTTACTCAGGGTCTTCAGGCAAGATGAACTGTTTCTACCAGTAAATCATTGTAAGAAATACAACTTTACCCATTCTCCCTCCCTTTTTCTAGTGTACCATATCTGATAACAAGGACCGTTATACTACTGATCTTTTAAGCTGACTTGAAAGATTTATTGGCTAAGAAAAGGGGGGGATCTTTTCAGTAGACAAAAGAAATGACCTAGACATATGGTTTAGTCATGAAGATATTTCACACCTTTAGTCCTAGAGCAGATTTTGAACTCTACCTTACTCTTTCTCTTTGAAATGATTTAGCTTAAAGAGTTACCCATGAAGACAAACATACTAATAGATAGGCTGCTGTGGCATATCAAACAGCCACCGTAAGGACCCGTTCAGACAGCTATTTAATGTCCTGTCCTTCAGTAAAATAAGTGGACATAAATTGTGCTGCTCACATAGCTGAGTTTTACTGCACTCAGTAAAGTTTCACATTAGGGATTTGCAGATCCCCTGATCCTCCTCACCCAGGGTCATCTAACAGTGGGAAAAAAGATCCACCAGTTGTTCTCTTCCTTTATCTTTTAGGGTAATGGCTTTTTAAAAGTTCAAGCCCTATTTTTTAATATCTATTTATTGATCTTTAAATCTTCTGTACAACGTAGAAGATTGAGAGATTGTAGTGCTCAAAGGCCCCCCCCCCTCTATTTTTTAAAAGAAAAGACTCAACATGAGCACAAAAGGAAAATGAATTGTGAGCCCTAAGAAATACCAATAATATGGGCTGGCAAAAGAAAACAGCACTCTTCTTTGTGGCTTCAGCACTAGGAAAAAGCTGTTGTTTTTTTTTTTAAAAAAAAACAATACATAACTTGCTGGAAATAAAGCAGCCTCATATGTGTGGCAAAAGGGGGCAATGGTGAGGTGTTGAGAATTCCATAGCTAAGTAGTTTGCAACTAGGGAAAATAAGAGGGTTTTCCTATTCTTGCTGGTATGTTTTGGGAACCCCCTGATTTAGATCAGCTCTGGATACCCCAACTTCTGTAAATCAAGCCAACTCTCAGAAAACTTCACAAAAATAATATCCTTTTCTCTTTCCTACTCCCACTAGCAGAGAACCTATATGAAGAATGTTGTGGTTTTAGGAAGGCTGTACTAAAGTTTCATCTCAAACACTTTGTCTCCACCAATCTGACAATAGTGGGATATTTTGGTTCTATCCAGAGATGCAGTCTTTGCTGGGTCTGCCTTCCCTTGTTTCTAGGGCTGTTTTCTTTTTTCCAGGTTGCAATGCACATTTTGCTCTTTACCCAAGCAACTTTTCCATGATGTTGCATTTCATTCCCTCATTTGGGGTGACTCTGATCTCTCTTCTTTCTTTGTCCACCTTATTTTGTATTGATGCACAGGCAGAATGCAAGCAAGCAACCATTCTGCCTAAAAATTACCAAATGGCTGATCCATACTTTTGGGACTAACAAGCAAATCTGTCCTTGCACAAATTCTGATTAATTTAGATGAGTTCTGATAGGCATTTTCAGCCACAAGAACCAGTCAGATTCTTAGGGCATGGTTTGAAATAATCTAACTGAATAAAACAATTATTAAAACTACCCTCACCTCAGGCAATAAAATAATTTTCCTATGGTATTTTAGGTGGTCTTAATCGACTGCCATTTCCCATGAAGCCAATTTGGTCAGGCAAAGAGCCTCTTCTTCCCTCCACCTTTCCACATGAATGTTTGTGTATCCGTACTTATGTCTCATGTACTTTCCATACTTTATAATTTCCCCAACATCTCCACTCACCCAGCTACATTATCAAACAACCAGCCATACCCAAAAGCAGCAGCAAAGTAGCAATGATCCCACCCAGCGAATTCCACTGGATTATCAATATACCCATTAAACAAACAAACAAGGAAACAGAAGCTTCCATCGCCTAGCAATTGAATAGA